GTTAACCCAGATCTGTGATGGGCATATCGAGTTTTAAACGACTTTGTATTGGGTTTAAGGTTAAAATCATGTTTGAAGCATAATGGCTCTTAGAGCACTGTGACTGGTTGTTTAACTATCATGATTCTAATTGAATCATGATAGTATCACAGTGGTGAGAGATTCGTGATAATCAAAGTGATCATCACGGTTATTTAAGTACCATGATGGTTCTAATGCTACCCTATCGTCGGGGTCCTAATAGCACCATGATGACTTAAGCCCCACACGAACAACATTTGAATCCTCCACGACCATCCCGGATCTAGGTCAACCATGATGCCTTCATGGATTTAACTCTTATGTTAAGGGTATTTTAGTAAAAAAGTGTTAAAAATAGTGGAATGAGGTATGGAAGGTTTTGAAAAATTTGGGGTTTATTTCTGATAACCTAAAAAATAAAATAGGATATTTTTTATAGTTTCCCAAAAAAAAAAAAACAGAAAAGAAGAAAAAAGCAAAGCAACAAAAAGATAAGAAATATGACAAAAAATATACAAGAACCACAAAATAATAATAATGAAAAGGAAAGAGAAAAGAATTGAACTTGATCATTTCATCTAACAAGAGGCATAAAACACATCAAAATAAAAAATCACTTTGAGAATGAAATGCGGAGAAAATGGAGGAAAAACAAAAATCGAAATTGGAAAGTTTTTTGTTTTCAATCAAGAAAAAATGTTGGGTTTTATATGTCGAACAGTTTGGACAGATCTGAGCAATTTGGTCAAAAATCAAGAGATAATTCATGCAATTTCAATTTCAATTTTGGGTTTAAAAATCCCTGAAATTTGAACTTTTAATTTCGTCTATTTGGGCGTCAGATCCAACATATTTCTATAGGGATTTATTACAAAACTCCAATACCAACATTTTATATCAAATTTATACCAACCTTTTATATCAAATTTAAAATGATTTGGTTGATAAATGCGAGAGATATTGAAAGAAAGGTGGATTGGGATATTGGGCTTAAAAATGGGGTAATTTTTTTTCGAAAAAATTCTTGCCCAAATGCATTTTTTTAACAAAAAAAGCTTGATTTTTTGGGTTAAGATGGATTGATTTAGGTCCAAATTGATAATAATAAAAAATAAAAATAAAAAAAAAGAAGGAAAAAAAAAAGCCATTTCTGTGGATTCAAGGTTGTAAAAATGAAATAAAATAATAATAAGAATAATAGAAGGGAGACATTTTCCTTATTTTTGAGTTGTAAAATTAAAACCGAGTAACTAGTCCAACATGCCCTAATCCAAGCGATACCCAGTCCTAGTACCCATGCGGTCCGAGTCTGCTTGGTGATTTTTGAATCAGTTTGGCAAATTTCAAATCCTTGTTTCTAACTCTTAACTATCGAATATTTTTTTTTTGAGTAATTCAGTGGGGAAGACCGACCCTTATCTTTTTTTTCAAATAGTTTAGGAATTTGTTTTTTGTTTTAAGGTTTAGTGTGGTGGTGTCAATGAGAATAAAAACTCGGTGACTAAGATGTGAAGGCTACCACCATGACCCCAACCCCTTTTCCAACTATCAACTTTTATATTGGAAAAAGATTATCTTGACCCCCAAAAATATAGTAAGGGTGATAATTTTTATCCCGAAACTTTTTTTTGGTAATCTTTGATTCACTTGGCAAATGATTTCAAATAATGCTCTTGAGTCCTCAAAGATCTAATCCCCTCAAACAACCATGCTGAATCATATTATTGGAAGGGAGGGGAATTAGATTTCGTGCGAGCATACATATATACATGCATACACATTTATTGAAAAAATATACAAAGAGACTATTTATTTTAGTACAAAGATGTCACAATCACTCTTTTTTATCGATATCAAATAGGGTGATTATAAGAGTGTTAGTTGACTAGATTCAAAGTAAAAAAAAAAAAACTCAAACTTCATGACACACCCCAAACGATCCAATTTTAAATCTAATGGCTAAGAGTAATTGTGAGCTCTTTGTACTGAAGATAAATGATCTTATGATATACAAATAACAAATTTTAGATAAAAAATTATTATTACTTTATTGGGCGCGGTGGACCATTTCTTGTAGGCACTTAAGCCGATCACATACCTTTCTCTTTTCTCCTTTCTATCTATCAGTGGGACAGTACTGATTGATGGTTGCTTGTATTGTTGTTTTCCATAAAATGGAGGCATGAAATGTGAAGGGGAAAAATGAAATGCACATTGGTGTTTTGGGATAGTATTTTTCTTTAATTTTCTGTAGATTTACTTTGTAATTTACTAAGGGGTTAACCAAGAATAAAAAATGGGAATTTTCCATGCAGGAATCTCGAAGCTGGAATTCGAAGAACATACTATATTTGGTTAATTTGTCAAGATTTTTGAAGATTTTGGAAAATTGCGTTCAGTTTTAAGTTGGATTTAGTAAACGTGGAGATCTAGAAATAAGCCAATTTAAATTGTTTATTGAGGATGAAAGGGTATTCCTTTTTATTAAACAAGCGAACTTTTGGAAATCATATTTCATCTAATACATGTCTAACAAAATAGACAATCTAGATCGTGTAAAAATGCTAATAGTTCCACTAGTAAAATGTTATTGATATAAACATTTCGATCTTGATCAAACAATTAAGAGCATGTCTGAGTATTTTAATTTTATGTTTTTTTTTGGACATCATATTGAGCTAACATTGTGGTCATCCATACTTCTTACCCTTACATGCTTGTAAAAAAACTAAAACAATAATTCAAAAAATAAAATAACCAAAATACTCTTAAAAGTTCCAAGGTAATTTGGTCATTTTATTTTTTATAAATTATTTTACATATATTTTTTTCTATGAGCCCCAATTACATGTACACAACCTCGAATTTTTATTAAGACTTAATTTATTATGAAAAAATAAGGAAATGAAACAGAATGAAATACAAGCAATCAACGTTTCTCATTATTTGTGAAGTTGGCCTTTTTTATGAGGGGTGGACGTTTGCATTTATCATGTTTGATATTTGTGGACTTCCACTTCTCCACTTTTGCTATAGGGTTCCTAACTGTCAAACTAGAAATTGCTATAGCGTTTTTGGCAATTTAATACCTTGTCAACCCTTAGTAATACATCCTTCTCACGATCAAACATACCTTTAGTACGCTATTGTAAAGAATAGCTCAGTGATCATCATCTGAGCTTTATCTCACTATTTGGGTTCAGCTAAATGAATTTCGTTATGCTACTGTGCTTTATTAAAGGCTATACAACACCACAACATACGCATATTGAAAGATGGATTATGTGATAATGCATGGTGTATATATTTAATTTTTTTTTTTATTTCACGGGTAAAATCACTCACAATATCTAATTATTATTAAATTTCACTTCAAATAAATAAATAAATAATAATAATATCTCACTTGCTACTATTTAAAACAAAGCTTTTACACAATAATAAAAAACCTAGACTCTTTGCTTTATGAGAAAAGAAGAACATAACATGAATAAAACTTTAAAGAAGTAAAATTGCCGGAGATTACCTCAACCGGTCTTAGTATACCCCACGTCGAGTCTCTTCCTTCTAAGGATGATTGGGATTTTCAATTGGTCTATAGATTTTTCCTTTCTATGCCATAACCTAATCAATGCATATGGATCTCGATCTAGAACCACCCACTTAAAGTCTCTTAGCTTAACCCTTCTGAGAGATAAAAATTAAAAAGAAGAAAAAGAAAACCACTAGCTAAGGGAAGATCCATTTGCTACTCAAAATCACAATCCAACTAGCTTGATCTAGAACCCATGAGAGAGAGAGTCAAGCTAACCTAGGGTGGGGTGTGCCCCTTTGAGAGGTTAGAAAGATTTCAGTTCCATCCTGTGATACCTGATATTTATAAAGAGACCATTTATCTTTTGTACGTAAAAGTCACCGTCTCTCTTGTCCTTTGAATTTCAAAATGGGTGGCTGTAAGTGTTATTGAATGGACAACGTTCCAAAAATAAATTCTTGGACTTCATGATTCACCCCAAGCCATCCAATTTGACATCTAATGAGTATGAATGATTGTGACCTCCATGTACAAAAGATAAATGACATCTTTGTAGATAATCCTTAAATTTTTATATTTTATGCTCATGTCTCTTCTTTCATTTTTTTTCTTAAAATTCATTGTATTCTTTTTTTTATAGTGGAGGGATGGTTCCTTTGAACTTGAAGTTTCGCATCGTACACGTTCCAATTTGTAGCCAAGAAAAATAAGTATAATGTGTTCTTATTGGGAAATATATGGTGTTAGTGTCTCAAACTAAAATACTTTATTTAAATAAAAAATAAAATTTTATTTAAAAACAATCATGATGATTCTAATGTAGATCCTAATAAAAAAATATATTTTAGCATAGGTAAAAAAAACTTGAAATGATAAAAAAGTATCTATGCAATTTAATAAAATAGATTATGTTAGGGTACTCATACATAAGAGTATTCATTTAATGTACTTAACTTTTTTGAATACTCATATATCTTTGTTTTGTAATACAAATGTTTTTAGTAAATG